TCACAATAATAAACGTCAGCTAATAAAAATAGATAAATTCAGCACTCAGAGATACCAACTAAATCAGTATTTAAGATTATGCTAAATCATAACTCTTCTATTAAATAATCGAAAGAGAATTCTCTAACGAGTTTAATTCGAAGTTATTTGAAGAATTTGACGTTGATTTTCTTGAACTCAGACTATAAAGAGATAACCTAGGAAGAGATCAGGGATTCCAGGAATATTCACAGTGATACGATGGGAGATAATTTTATTTGGTTTCGTATAAAGTCAGAAACCGCCGTGTTATTCTAAAATTGTGAAAAACTCGCCGCGATAATCGTGTAAAAAGACAGACGAAACTTTTGAATTATTCAGAAGCCATCTCGAATTGAATATTTTCCTGATGCTCCAAACTTCATCGACGACAATCTGTTATCCTTCAATTTAGACTAAAAACGTGGCGCTAACCGAAAACCCGATAGCAACGTTCTGACGCAATCGATTTTACGTAGATTCTCTAAATTGGAATTTAATTCGTCCACGTTGTTAAATCAACTGATGCTATAATCACTATTAGTTCATCACGTGATGTACGTAACTATCGTATGAGCATTCATCATGTCGTATTCATTATCGTTCAAATTTAATATCGATTAACATCGATATTTTGCAATATAAAGTTGCCAATAATAAATATCCGTTGTGAAAATGTATTGAGTATATACTAGAATTACTATCCACCGATATTTTTCAAATGTCAACAAATTAGAGACAAAGTACCAATATCGAAAATATTTAATATCAAATGCAAATAATCTGTAATATTAAACAGTGATTTATCAATATTAAAAACGTTAGCAATATTATACACAGCTATGATATTCTATTTTAGTACTGGATGTTGTTAAAGTATCTATATAAATAAATCTATTTTCTGAATTGTGTACACTTTTACTTTAGGTTTAAAATACAGATTAACAAAAAAGTTTATATAATGTTTATACAAAATTTTGTGTTTCAAATTATTACAATATATTCAAAAAAAAAACCAAATTCTAAAGCGTTAGTTACATCTTATTAAATATCAGAAGAACTGCACTAAAAGATTTTCATTTTGATTAATGAACTAAAGATCGCTCTCTACTGGCTGGCTAAAAAAATTTGTTCGGCTATCGTTAAAGCGTCTTAAAGATAATACAAAAATGTCAAACCTAAAAATGATTATTTGTGTGAATATTATTATTTTTGTATTTAATAAGATATAACTAACAGTTCAAAGTTTATTTTTTTTTTGTAAACATATGTTATTAATTTGATAGACACAAAACTTCATAGCCAAATTTTTTGTTATCCTATGGGTATATGTTTAATATTTAACAAAAACAAGAAAGTTCAAGTACAAGAATAAAAAATCTATTATATCTAATTGGCACATCTTAATGGAAACAAAAATGTCGCAAGTACTCAATGTCGCGGTCAAAGGTGGAAAAAAAACTGTAACCAATCAAACTTAAGGCAGGCTTTCGGTGAGTACAAATCAGGAAGAACAGAACGAAGAAACAACCGCGCGTAATGAGAGCTCGAGTAACCTAGAGAACGAGAGAAAGGAAGATAAATAGACGAGAGGTAGGCCGCGGAGGGACCTAAAGAAATGGAGCTAAGAAATGGCCTCTTGAGGATTAGAATGAATTCCGCGGACGAAGACCGTGCAATTCTCATTTCTCGGCTTGGATTAAGTCCCTTTCACACGATCCATTTGAAAAAGTTTTTTATTAATTCTTACAAACAAATAGATAAAATAACATTTCGTTTTGTACTGTTGTGAAGAATTATATTTTAAATTAGTATTAATTTAAACATACAGATCCGAATTTACACAATTGCTTTTATCGCGCTTTTATTTCTAAAATTCTAATAATAACGTGAAATTCTAATGTAACATGAACTATATATGCGCTAAATGTGCGCTAACATTGTTATAAACGTGTTCTGAATATAGACTATGAATTATTTGGATATTTCAATTTCTTCCTTTATTCGTATATCTGGCACTTTTGTGTAATTATATAAAATTGTCTATACATAGTATGTTATGAAAGATTAAAGAACGCGTTTTAATTTTATAAACATAGATATTATTACGCAATTATTATTTCAAGGTATAAAATTCTATCGCGTATTTTAGAGCGTAACATAGACTTTAGACCAGTGGGAGGTTACCGTCCTCTTCCATTGGAATCACCACGATCCTTTTCTTCCTCCTGAGTCAGCCTTTCCCCCATTCTCACCCCCTCACGTCTCGCACTATTCCGATGCGATTCCTCTTTTTCTTCTTCTTCTTCTTCTCCTTCTTTCTCACCCCTTGAATTGCTCGATGGCGGTTCAGACGGTGCCGGCAACGTGTCTTTTGTCCGCGGACCGGTTTCTGCCGGTTCCTCGAACCATTTATTTCCCTCGTCCCTCGGCTATATACGACTATATACTCCTTCTCCCTCCACTTCTCCTCTCGCGTCCTCTCCCGTAACTCGTTCTCCCAATACGTTCCTCCGTCCTCTCATCCGCCGTTCCTTTTCTCACTGCATCTTCCATCGCCTACTACCTCGTCCTACCACCCTCAATTGTGTTACACCCTTTTTTCGGGACCAGAGTATCGTATCACTGGCCGGTTCTTGCACTCGAAATAACGCCCCGATTCCTGGCAGCCTCCCGAGTCCATGAATGAACGCGGTCGAATCGCTCGGAGGCATGGAGGAGACGAGGAGTCACCGAGCCCGGCTTGTCTGACCTTCGCACGGGTCGATTCGGTGCGCATCTATCGACGACGAGGACGAGGGCGACGACGACCCCGTTTGACCTCGCTTCATCGACCACGCCGAAGACCTGGACACTGGGTCGACAGAACTATGCGGTAGCTCACGACTACATAGACTCTTCCGCCTTGACGTCGGTGTACAGACATGGAGGGGGAGAGTTATAGTTATTGGCCTCGATAACCGCCTCGACTGGCGGTTTATTGGCGGTGCTATTTCTTATGTGTGTATCCGAGACACTTCAGCAACTTTGTGCGATGTTATGACGTATATTTCTAGATTAATGTTCTCGAGAAATTAAACACAAATAATGTTTCTCTGCACTGAGAAAAAAAAAGTCGAAATATTTGCAACGAAATGTCATATGTGACGTTTTCCTTGATATTTATTGGTTAATAAAAAAATTTTGTTATGACACTGTTATGACAAAATATATATTTCTGTGAAATATATCTCATTAACGGTAAAAAAATAAAATGGATGATTTATTTGCTAGGAATAAAATTTTATTTCGCTATATATTCAAATGAGGATTTATTTCAGTGAAATAAATTTCATATCATATAAATAAATTTTTAAGTATTTTTCTCAGTGTGTTATGTTGAATGCATAAAAACGTGTAATTTATTCAGATCGACTAAAAATACTTAAAAAATTCCTTCATTCGAAGATTATATTTCTACAATGGTAATCATTGTGAGTTATTAATCTTTTAATATTTGAAGTTAAATGATTTTTCATGTATCATGCATCATCGCGATAATCAATAAAGTTTAGGAATTTACTGTTAAATTATGCTGCAAAAACAATTTTCAATCGCTCGTGACGTGAAAATTATTTCTACGTCCTAACGAAAGAGAAATGTTTGCATATTAATTAAAAACAATACCTACGCGCATTAGAGACAGATTTTCTTGAATTAACACAGATTATTCTTTGATCTAGAAACATCCTAAATATACTTGTATAACTTGGAAAGTGAAAAAACTATAACAGAGTTTCAGGTCTCATTCTGTTTCGTATCGGAAATAGCAATGGTATTATTTTCCTTAGCAACAATCAGTTTTTACGCACTTCCTGCGCCCTAACTCGCGATGTTTACGAGCGCTTGTCGATGTACGACACGACGCGAGCGCGATATCACAGTTCTTTTATCGCGCTTTTATTATGATACCCGAGACGCCAGGGATCACGTTGTTAAATCAGAACCCTTTCGTTCGTCTTGTTACGCGCGCGCGAGGGCGAGATTGCTCGGTACGATCGATTGGTGAAACGATCCCCTCCCGACAAACACAGGTAAGAATGGCACGTCGAATGAGACCGTGGTAACGGGTATCAGAAACCGAGCGCCGGATAAGCTTTTACTATCCGATAACGATTAACGGCCATCGGCTGCGATTGTGCTGACCTGACCCGAGTATCGGTCGACCGACCGATTGCGTTCATCGACTTAAAAAGATTTATCGGCGCATGGCGCCCGCTTCGAATTCACCTCTCGATGAAGTCGGAGAAACTACGACGTTGTGCGAGCTCTGCTACGAAAGTTCACTACCTTTGGAACACGATTAAAACAGTATTCATCAGCGCGCAAATACCGCACCACTTCCACCCCAGAGAGAAATTAGCGGGGCAGACATTCCGCGAACCGACTAATGAATTTCGGGCAACCGAGCTGCTCCCGCACTTCCTACAAGAGAGAGTTTCTCTCCATTTGCGTTCTCATTAAATCTCAATTTCAAATAGCACGCCACTCGCGATTATCGCCGGTCGTTTCGAGAGAAGTTCCTCGCTTTCGGAATTGACTATCATTTACGGAAAAATCCGAGAAACTTAAGTTTCTGGAAAGTTCTTTACTTCGAAATCAACAATAAACTTAATTACTTTAAATATCGTAATACTTGCATATATAAAATTCTTGGATACAATTCGTTCAAACACAATAATGTTAAAACGTGTAATAATAAATGTTTATATGTTGTATTTCAAATAAATGTTTGGTAAAACGTGGCTCTTTGATTTTTGACGAATGACAGTCAATAATGATGCGATATTTTGTGTCACATATTTTATAGATACTTACTGATAATTAATATCAAAACCTTTCCTCGTGATAAAATAATTTTTTTAAATATAAATTGAGAACAACCCATAATTGTGCATGTATCGATGTTTCAAGAGAAAAGTTAAAACTCGAAAGTCACTGACCTTTTTCGAGCTGCTGCGATATCGGGCTTTGTACCCTCGGAGTTGTCTGTAACTGCGCTGCGTTTCCAGGTCGCCTTCGAGGCCTTCTTCCGGGTCGTGGCTAAATAACCAATAAAAGAGACAAATTATTTTTTTGATAATTAGAGAATCAATATGACGTAAGAATTAATATAAATATAATAATTTATATATATTGTATATATATATATATAAATACAACTACACTGAGACATAACTTTTGTAACCATAATTGCTACTACAATTCATGATCATTTTCGATTGTCAATATATATATCTGTTTTAAAAATATATTGGATATATAGTTATATTGTTACTAATATCATAGCAGCAATAATCATAATAATATGTAAATATAGTTACAGATACCAAAAATTTTTCTCTCAGTGTGCAAACGTAACTTTTTATTGATCATTCAAACATGTAGAAATATTTTTATAAACTTTTAGTAATATTTTACAAGAAAATAAATTCTGAATAAAAGTAGAGAGATACTGGCGCGCAGTTTACATAATTGAAAGGTACAATTTAAAATTTACATAGAAATATTATTATAAACACTTAATCTAGCCTCGACCGTGTTTGGTACTTTCTTCCTTGTTTGATTTTAAAATAGATTGATCTACTTAAATAAACGTTACTATTATTCTGATTTTTAACGAAGACAAATCACAGACATAGATTAAGCATCGAATGCTGATACATCGCGTGCAACGAAAATGCTTTCTTTCAGAGTCAGCTGACTGTGGATTAAAATAAACGATTGTACCGATTTATTATAGCTCGACCGATCACGCAGATTACAGACACGCCATGGACATTGCGGCTCAACTATAATTATACACTGCGGCAGAATCGATTTTCGACGATTACAGAACTCGTCAAAATAATAATAATCTTATAATAATATGTAAAGCAGTAATGAACAAGTAAAAAATAATGTAATAAAGAATTAAGAAAAATCGCTAAAATGTCTTGCCTTGTTTTCAGGAAATGCTTGTAACAAATATCCGTTTATTTAAAGTATAAGTGGAAATAATGTCGGAATTAAAAACTGCTGCATTCCATGCGGTGGAAACGCAAGAAATAATCGTTTTAAACATCTCAAACGTATAAAACAGATAAAAGACATTTGTTACATCTTTCAGAGCAATCGATAGCACGATGTGACATTCGTGCAACTTTTGCAATGGGTAAAAAAGTCGCGCAGCCAACCGCAAGACTTTATAGACTCGCGATGGCTCGAAGTCTCTATCTCCTTCCCACATCATTTTCGTCGTCGTCGTCGTCGTCGTCGTTGTATTTCATTATTCTTCGTCCTTGCTGCGATATATGTGGTACGTATGTACGTATATACCCGCAGTCAGATAATCGTAACAGTCCAGGCTCTTCGTCGTCGCTCGTAAAGTCACTAGCATCCGAAGAACAGCGTGGAAGGAACGAGGCGGACCAGGACAAAACGGGTTGCCGTCTTTGTTTAACTGCCGCGTTTATTGCCGCGGTGATAAACGAACGTGAACGCGAGCGCGCTTCAAGATAAACGTGAGTGAGCAAATGTCTCGCGTATACACGCGGAAACGACGACCAAATTTTAACGACAAATTCTACGAGTTTGGAGTCTAATGTTCCTTAGCAGGACCCTCAAGGGGCGTTATAATTAATGCAAAATTACAAACTAACACTTTGAAAGACTAAACTTTAAACAAACAGCAACGTTTTCATGCTATCTCGAGAAGAAATATTTTATTCTCAATCGCTCGGAATTCATTCTTTTTCAAAATTTTAGACGAACTTGTTGTTAAAACTACGTAAGATAGAAAGGAGAAAAAATGCTCTATATTAGTTAAATCACGAAATAATGTAACATAATACTGCAGTGCACAGCAATGAAAAGAAAGGGAACGAAAATAAGTGCAGACTAAATTACTGGAATCCATCGTGGCAGGGTATTTCAGGCATCTCTTAATAAAATCCTAGACTTCCGCAAAAATGAAGTTAGGTCTTGAGAGCGCTTCGCTAAATTACTGAAATTTTTTACACCAAGTTTCCTCTCCGGGATATGACGCCGTTTGGCATATTGTAATCTTCCTCAGCATACCAAACGCGATTACTTCGCATGATTACACGTTTTCTGCAGATCGCAACACGATACAAACAAACGCAAATACGAAGGTAGTCTTCAGAGAATTAATATTCTTTTTTCTGTTATATAAGTATCGATCCAATCTTTTATCAAATGTATATTAATTCTATACTTCTAATTTTATTTTTCATTTATAATAACTTTCATTTACAGTAATAAAATTAACGTCCTTATCTATTCTTTTTGTCTCGATATATGATATATCTCCTTCTTTATCAACATTAATAATATAAAATATATTTTAACATTCGTTAAAAATTAATATTGCATAACGCTACTTCAATTATATAAATATCAGTCACAATCGTTACAATAAGATCGCCAATGATGTTAATTCTCGCACAGAAATACCGGCAACAAGTACTAATAACGTAATAACTCCGACATTTAGATCTAATCTTCTGAAGTATTACGTCACCGTATAAAAGCGCGAGACAAGATTTCCAAAGTCATGACCAAAGAATCAAGAGAAATTTCTCGAATTAATATTAATTCCTCGCTGTGCACAGGTCGCCCTTTGTTGGCTGCATGCACTTTCGCATTTCTGTACGAGAAAAGAGAGCGAGGTTCTATGAAATGAGCCGCGTGCGCGTTCGTGCAAAAGAATCCACCCTCTCGTATATTCTGCCTCTCTTCTCCTCCCCCCTCCCCTTCCCCTCTCTCTCTCTCTTTCTCTCCCTCGTGTGTGTTTTATTGCAAATTGAGGTTAAAGTCTCTGGCACAGAGCCAGGCATTTCACCTAGGCCGTTGCATTCCGGCAGATACACACGAGCGTTATATGCTTGCTTATGTGCTCCTCGCGCGCGCGCGCGCGCGCGAGAGCATCTCGATCACGTATAAGCGAAGAGAAGAGCTCTTACGTGCTGCCTGCAGGCCTCTGAAGTACGATTCACATATACATATATGATACGTGCCTGAATAGAGAAAGTCTCTCGAATTCGAAGTATTTTTCGAGATGCTACTTGTCTTCGAATTGCAAGCGATTGAAAATAAAAAATGGGCTCTCCATCAAACTCGCGATGAAACAACATGGTCAAGTACGAAATGAAAAAAAATAATGAAATTTAACTATTTATACAGATTCAGAACGTACAATTTCAGAGAATTAAATCAAAAGAGAATTTAATTAAATACTAGAAAATTGCAATAAAAATTTTGTCAAAATTTTTCTAAAAATTCCTCCGACAAAAAAATTTATAAATATTCTAGAAACGGAATTATTGACAATTTTGTGAAATACTTAGAAAAAGAAGTAGAAGAAATATTATGCACTTTATGTTAATCAGATTCACGTTATCTTTTTACGATGTAAAAGCAAAGCAAATGTAACCACGCTTTTGAGCAAGATTTCAATATAGGTATCGATAAAGTGCGTATCCGTGAGGTAAAAATAATTCAGTATATTAGATCGTCATATCAGTGGGTTTTATTTTTACACTCGCAAGTCTCGCACACGAGATATAAATAGTAAAAAAAAAAGAAAGAAAAAGAAATGGTTGCGCGACAACGACGGATGATATTCCGTAATATAATTAACGTACGTCGAGATAATAGCATCTTCGTTGCCGACGGATATAGGTGGACGCATTACGTGCGGACAGCATCTTTTTCCGGCATATGCTAATCTAATTAATGATTGCACGGAAACCCGCGTGTGGTGTGTAAGCACACATATGTGTGTGCGTGCATGCGAATGCAAGCAGCGGCGTATTTATTACGGTTCAAAGTCCTCGAGATTCGTTCTCTATCTCTGCTTTTTTTTTTCTTTTTTATTGTCCACGAAGCTTTTAAAATACCAATTTTCGATAATTATATTTCACGTATTCAATTAAAAAAATATGCACGTTATTATACATACAATTATACAATTTAATATTAATTGTCACAATAATTCAAGTTTTTCATGCAATAATTCATTTTTTATCAATGCCCTAAAGCAAACTGAGCAAAATAAGTGTAAATATTTGTAACATTCTACCTTTACCGTACAATGGTAATTTAAATTGAATATTACGATGAGCAAACAATTCTCTCTTCTCTTCTTCTCTCTCTCTCTCTCTCTCTCTCTCTCTCTCTCTCTCTCTCTCTCTTTCCCCTACACATATATTTATTCTCCCATCAGATATTATGTTTGAAAATTTTCTGAAAAATTTATTATGTCCTTTTTTTATTATAATTTAATGTGATATAGAAATTAGTTTTATAACAGTAATAATAAAAAAACTTGTATATTTTACTATAAATTAAAACATGAACATTTCAAACATCACTGACCAGAAGATATACACATACATATAGAGGAACATCATTACTAAAAAAAATTATTACTCAATTATTTTTTTTTAAATAACGGTTATTTTTAACAAAGAATTTTTTCTTGATAATAATTTTAAATTTAGTACAAATTAAGAAAAATAACTTTATACTTATTACAAGTTAAAAAAAAGTTCATTATTATTTATACTCTAAACAAGAATTTTTTTTAAGAATAAAATTGATCAAAAAACGACTTTATATAAATAACAAATAAAATTGGTTTCAATTTAATAATTTTGAATTGAGCACCAAACTTAAGATTGAGAATATATTTGGAATATAAATTTGATGTTTGTGATAAACTTACAAAAGATTTGCGGATATATGAACTTTTGAAATACTTGAAACAAGTAATTATTTGTGTACAGTATATATTTTTCTGTATATGCAAAAACATATAGATAATAAAATCTCCTCTTAGCTAGATAATACGAAAATGCAAGATGTGGATAAAACCGAATTATCTTGGTGCTGTCGATAATGAGTCAATTAGGAGGCAAATTGCGTTTCAACTAAGAAAATATGCATAAGAACTGGAACACGACACGTGAATAGTTTATGAGATAATAATTAAGACAAGCTGATCGATTGAGCGATTGAACTGAGCGATGTAGTTAGATAAA